GTCCCCTCAGTCCCTTCGTACTACTCTGATGCTCCCATGACGTCGTCGCTCGGTCTCGATCCCTGAATCTCCCGCATGAATGTCGTACGTTGTAACCGCTAGTGCTAGTCCCGAGTCTTGGTCTAACTCTGGCGGACATTTGAAATAAACCAATATCGCATGACGCGCAAACCTACCAAAATGATCTCAAAACCACATGGTTGTCGATGTCGTCCCTCGTACGTACGCACAACCCGCAGGTAAACACTTCCATCAAATGACAAAATCTTTTTAATCCTAAGTTAATCAGAAAATAAAAATTCTGGTCGACGATCACGTCGACTCTTCGATTATCAATAGTAAAAAGATCACGCGTGCCTCAAAACTGCGCGTCCACGTACTCTTTATTCTAGTTAATCATCCCGCCAACGCAAAATCACAAACACAGTCGCGCCCTCGCGTGGTATATTTAGACTTTATACCAAACCTATTTTCTATCACTTGCAAAAACCAGGGTGGATACCCTTGTAAGGGTATTCGCTTGTAAGGGTATTCGCACCAACAGCGTGGCTTGCGCCATATCAGCAGAGGTTGGCGCCAAGATAGGAAGGTGCCAGGAAGCAAGCAACAATCTCGTATTGTCGTCCACAATGCCCGCGTCCAGCCAATGTTAAGCCAACGTCCAGCCAGCATGCAGCCATCGTCCAGCCAGTGTCAAGCCAACGTCAACCTAGTGTCGAGTCAGCATAGCAAGACTGAATGTTGACTCCCTGCAGGCAGGGGCTTATGTGGCGTTTGATGAGGTTGACCTGCCTCAGGTCTCCCAGCCACAGTGGCTCCGATTGACTCACAGCTGATGGCCCGGATCTCGTACAGTTGCGGACTTTCACTTGGTCCGACTGTTGTCTTGGTACCTGCATACAAACAAGTGTGTATGTCTGACTTGCGGCCTAGGCTGGGTCCATGCAGTCTTTGACTCAAGGGTCGCTGGGAAGTTGACCGAAGTCAACTGTCGGGCGCACAGGCCCTTAAGCCATTTTGGGGGGTTTTCTTCCCCGTGGTCGTCAAGGCCTTAGGCCGAGGTCGCAACTTGCCTGTGCCCCTTGGGCGACAACAGGGCTTAACGAGTGGGTTTATTGCATTCTTGCTGGCCCAATTTTCGAGTTCCATCGTAGAAATACATTAACTTTCCCTTATGCCATTGTAATATGCAGCAATAATGTCAGGAGCAGTAGGTAATAGTTCCTTTTTACGAAACCATCTAGCTTCAGATGGTGGTTGAGACTTAAACTTTACCTTTAACTGTTTTTGCGGTCTACCTTTGCCACCTGTAGAGAAATAGCCATGTTCAAAATCTTTTCAACTGCATGCCCTCCATTCATGGAGGGTGGGAACATGTTGGTCTATTGGGAAACTCATGTCCCTCCACATATGGCAGGTTTAGACACGTGAAAGACATGATAGGTCTTAAGGTGTGGGGGTACATCAATCCTCTAGGAGGGTCCATCTGCATCAACAATCACCTTTAGAACTTCCCACATCCATTTGCATCCCCAATCACCTTGAGAACTTCCCAGGGTTCATTATAGACAGGCAGCAGTTTATGAGACATATTCTCTTCCAAGAAAAACTCTTTAAACTTCACCCATACAAGATCACCTTCTTGGAATTGTGATGGCCGACGATGCTTATTTGCCTGCTTAATCATCTGTAACTGAGCTTTCTGTATATTTTTCTTGACTTCTATTATGTCTTCTTCATATAAAACTGCGAATTCTCGAGTTCCTGGGGGTAGCCTTTGAATCTGGTCCCGGGTTAGAGCATTGATGGGATGCCTAGGCTTCCAACCTTTGTGTAGTGCATTTGGTGTTCTCCCTGTGACAGTATGAATGTTGTTATTGTATGCACTAGCAATCTTAGGTAAGTTCTCATCCCAATCTACTTGATCGGGTCGTACATACATGCACAAAAGTTGTTGGCACAAACGGTTCATTTGTTCAGTCTGACCATTTGTCTCAGAGTGTTTACTTGATGACATGGTCAATCTAGTGTCAAAAGCCACCAACTTTTGCCATTGGCGACCGGTGAACCATACATCTTTATCAGAGACGATGGTCTTTGAGAACCCATATTCTGAAACCCATTGCATCTAAAACTTTTGGATGGCCGGTTCAGTCTTGGCTTCGGCCGGCAAAGGAATGAACATAGCATACTTGGATAATCGATCGACAATGACCACTACCTGACTATTACCACTTCGGCTCTTAGTGAGACTCGTGAAGTCAATTAAGATAGACTCACCTGGCTCACTTGGAATAGGTAGCGGTCTCAATAATCCCAGTGGATTCTAATGTGAGGGCTTATTCCTCTGGGAACAAAACAAGCTCGCAGATAGGTTAGCACATCTTCCTCCATTCCTTTCCATTTGAAGCGTGCTCTAACATCTTCATATATCTTGTTAAAGAAGTGTCCTTCAACATCATGGCAGTCTCCAATAATCACACTCTTGATTTGTTCTTTATAAGGAGTGCATAATCTTTCTTCGATCTTATCCATAAAGAAGAGTAAGCCATCAGTCATTCCATATTTGAGAAAGAGTTCAGGGTTCTTTTGTAGGGTCCCAATCATAGGACTCCATATCGGATCATCGACATAACCCTTACAAATCTGCTCTTTCAGGTCATTCCCAATATCGAGGTAGGAGATAATCGTTCCAAAGAAGTCATCACGCTTGGACAAAGCATCCGCAACCACATTAGACTTTCCTTTAAAGGTCAAAGTCAAATATGTCAATGAAAGCGGACCATCTAGAGTCGAGGTTTTTTAATCCACTTCAAGGTAGAGTGGTTTGAGTAGACAATGAGGTGCCTCCCTAACAAGTAGTGCTTC